AGTAAAGCAGTCTTTCTTGGGCTCAAGGGGATCGGGTGTAAAGTGGAATCCTTCCTTTTAAATACTTGGAATTTCACCTCAGTGGTAATAAAAAGTTTGGGCCTCCTTCCCAAATGAGGAAGGTTAACCCTCGTGCAAGTGATTCTTAAAACTATTTCCCATCCAATTTTTCTCCCTAACAAAAGCCCCAGTTGAAGTGACTCAAGTGAACAAAATGATGAAAAATTTTATAACTAAGCAAAAGGTGTACAAACCCTTGAAAATTAGGCAATAATTCATAAATCGATGGCAAAACTAGGTCCAACCCAATGTCTAATTGAGTGAACTTTCTAGATCATTATAAATCGATGGCAAAACCGTGTCCAACACAATAACACGAACTTCATAAGGGATGGAAKACTATAACCCACAAATCTTTAAACTCTATAAAAGATCCGCTCCCTAGAAAATTTATACTATTTGGTTAAAGACAAACTTTCCATGGGTTAAAGATTCCTAATGTAACCTATAGGTGGATCTCAAATGGGATGGATTTTTTCTATGAATTGAAGATCATCTTCCGCTAATCTTCATACCCTACAAAAAGTCCATTCAACCTAAGGGTTACATTAGAAATCTTCAAGACATGAAAATTTTGACTCTCCAAAACATCTAGATTACATAAAAAGAATGGAAGATTATCCCTCACTATCCATAAAAACTCTAGAAAGTTCACTCAATTAGATAACAAACCCCTGAAGATTAGGCAATAGACCATAAATCGATGGCAAAACCGGGTCCAACACAATAACACGAACTTCATAACGGGTTCAAGACTATAACCCACACATCTTTGAACCCTATAAAAGATCCACCTCTACGAAATTCATACTACTTGGTTAAAGACAAATAATCCATGGGTTAAAGATTCCTAATGTAACCTAGAGGTGGATCTCAAATTGGGTGGATTTTTTCTATGAATTGAAGATCATCTTCTGCTAATCTTCATACCCTACAAAAAATCCATTCAATACGAGATCAACCTAGGGGTTGCGTTAGAAATCTTCAAGACATGGAAAATTTGAATCTCTTCAGATTCCATAAAGAGAATTGAAGATTATCTCCCACTAATCTTCAAACTCTAGAAAGTTCACTCATCTAGATGACAAACCCCTCAAGATTAGGCAATAAATCATAAACCGGTTGCAAAACCGTGTCCGACCCAATGCCATGAACTTCATAAGGAATTGAAGACTATAAGAGAATTCATGGAAAATAAAAATTAAAAAGAATCTCCAAACACTCGTATATAAAACAAAAAACTACTGGGAACCACCACTTCTAATTACAGAAAAAGATCCAACTCCTCAACTGGAAACCACCACTTCTAATTACAGAAAAAGATCACAACTCAGTGCCACCAACAATAATGCTATAATAGAAAATACCTTCTTCCTAAATATGTTGATCCATGGGCTTTTTTGAACCTTCCATCGTAGAAATAATTGTAGGAGGTCAACAGAATTTTCTAGACCTGCACAAGAGAAGCTAATTCCTAATTAGCCTCATCCGCTAATCTACTAGATCGCCACCAACAATAATGCTCTGATAGAAAATGTCTTTTCCTCCAAAATATGTTCATCCATGTGCTTTTGAACACCTACAAGTTTTGGGAAAAAGAGGTAAAAATGTTAATATAGAGAAGAAATGTTGAGACAGAAAAAAAAAAGTTAAAAAGAAAAGAGGATTAAAAAACAAAACTTTTGTAGAAAAATCATAGAAGTTCTTAAAATATTTTTAAATAGCAAGTATATTCATAAAAAGGTGGAAGGAATTGGAAAAAAGTTTGAGGAAACAAATTCAAAACGAAAAGATGTTAGGAGATTGACAAACAAAGAAAATTTTAAACTTTCAATAAAATTAGTGCAGGCAATAAGGTGAAATAGGAAAATTTCCGGTCAATTAATTTTCCTAAACTCACCTCACATCTACTACTCCAAAAATCATTTTGAAAATAGCGTTCAAATGTCAGGGAGAAAAATACTTGAAAGTACAATAAATTTAGAAAACAAGCTTTATACTCGAAAATTACTTTTCAAAATCATACAAAAAAAAAATTTGAATAAGACGAAAAAATTTTCAAGAGAGAATTTAAGAAATGGACAAAATTTCGAAGGGAGAAAAGAGGCTGGAATGGTAAATTTAAGAGAGTGAAATAAATATTTTGGCGAAAAAATGTTTTGAGGGATGGACAAAACTCCAAAGGCCACCATCAATATCCCAAAATCCTGCAAAAGAGAAAGCTCATAACATTATCTTTTTACCTTAGACGAAAAGATTTAATCGAAATGAAGAACATGCTACCTTGACTGAGTAGCTTCGAAGCAGAAAACAAATATATAAATATCTCTTGTATTTATCCAATACAAATAAGATTGTAACCAAACTTCAATTGGTAAATAAATTTGGAAGGAAGGAAGAAAAGAAGTGCATTCGCTCCTATGAATATCGAGACATTGAAGAATATTGAAATGGAAACATACCTAATGGAAATAAATCTTAGACACCATCTGAAGCATAAGAGAAAACACGAATCTAGGGAGCTGACAAACATGGAAACTGAAACATACCAAAG